CACAGACGCTAAAATACTCCCTCCGTTTCATGGATCCATCGACTGCCTAATAGATGTTAACCATAGGAGAACTATTAATTGAGACCGAGATTGTGGCAAGTTGGTTACAGTCAAAAATAACAATTTGTGAGCGTCAACTGCAAAAGAATAGATCCTTTGAACTTGACAGAGTCATACATGGCCAAGTGGATTGTGAGAATGTGGTAGTATCAAATGCGATGAAGATACCAAGTTATTTGCTTATGTATAAAGGAGAACAGTTACCAATAGGAACGGTGGTAGAAGATCTAGTAGAAATCATTGGATTAAGCAGCTTAACCGCCAGCTATTTTGCTCCAATCATACCAAATTATAACTTCATTACCTTTAGAACCAGTTAAAGAGCAAAGATGATACATCATAGATGGAAATTCACCCTTGAAAATGATGAAACAGCTTAAGTTATCGATGATGTTGGACACAAACAGTGCCTACGCTGTCACTTCTTAATGCCTGAACCTAAGAATTACCGTCCCTGCTCTTTGGTACCTTTTTGTCTAGTTTGTAATCGAGACTATCATGTAGCTCTTACACATGTAGAGAAAAGCCGGAATGTAGGACATGTAAGACACTTGCTAAGCAAAGTAACATCCAAGCAACCACCCGTCATGTACCATCTGAAACAAACTTTGCGCTGATTATGCCAATGATCACTATGGTGTTTTCAATTTCCTGAGAGTTTTATCCTTCACTGTGGACCCTCGAAAATAAATAAGCAAGATGGAGAAAAAAATTTAAATTTAAACAAACCATCATAAAACAATGAAAGTAACCAATTTCAAAACCAAAACTAACCTGCCCCTCCTGAACTGAGCAACTCCTCGAATATGTTTACTCCTGAAACCTTGAGCTCATATTTTCATTAGTGTTGTAATTTCCTTCCTTTTCTCGACAAAGATTGTAATTAAGTAGAAATAAGTAAAATACGAACTCTACAATATATTAGGTAAACACTAAAGTTTTTTCCGTTTTCGAGAGGTCGCTAATTGTCAGGCTACTAATTCAATTAGTAAGATGATATCGAGATGGGGTTTCTTGCAAACCATTAAGCAAATAGTTGTTGTTAATTAGGTTCATTTGTAATTTTGTTTCATTTTAGTTAAATGCGTAAATTTTTGTTAACTATGTTGAGTGAAAAAGTGAAAATTCGAGTCGCCATTTTCTATGAGTTTAAACTAGGAACCAAAGCACCGGTTGTTTTTGATAAATTATGTAAAGTGTTCGGACCTAATTGTGTAACTGATCGTACAGTAAGAAATTTGTATTCAAAATTCCGTTCAGGTGATTTTAATATTGAAGATAAACCCAGATCAGGTAAACCACGTGACATTGATTTGGAACTTTTAGATCAGGTAATCAGTGAGGATCCAACGAAAACATGTTCATCGTTAGCGATAGAGTTCGAGGTTAATAAGGAAACAATCAGAAAGTGTCTACATAAACTAAGAAAAAAATGGCGACTCAGTAAATGGGTACCATATGAACTTACTGAATCTCAGAAGCTGAATAGGTTAACAACTTGCTCTTGTTTGTTATCAAAACAGTAAAATGAAGGTATTCTGAGTCGGATTGTAACATGCGATGAAAAATGGATTATGTTAGACAATAGGAAAAGGTCACATGCTTGGTTAGAACCTGGAGAACCTTCAACTTCAACCCCTAAACCCTCAATTCACGCGCCTAAGGTAATGTTAAGTGTATGGTGGTCATGTCAAGGAATCATTTATTATGAACTGTTAGATGTTGGTAAAACAATTAATGCTCAACACTATGCTGATCAGCTCCAAAAAGTTCAAGATCAATTGATTTTAAAAGCTCCATCTCTGATCAATCGTAAGGGTGTAATTTACCTGCACGACAATGCGAGACCTCATGTCGCTAAAATAGTCAGAGACAAAATTAAAGAATTGAAATGGGAAATTTTACCTCATCCTCCTTATTCCCCTGATATTGCTCCTTCAGATTATTTCTATTTTTCTTTCTCTCAGTAACTTCCTTCAGGAAAAAAAATTCAAATCAAATCCGGAAGTAAAAAACGCTCTTGATTCGTTTTTTGGCTCAAAAAATCAAGATTTTTATCGAAAGGGAATTGGAAAACTACCTGAGTTGTGGCGAAAAGTTGTAGAATCAAATGGAAATTATTTTGATCAAAGAAAAAAAATCATTGAATTAGTTATTACAATTAAAACGCAGCCTTTGATTTTCGGAAAAAACTTTAGTGTTTACCTAATAAGACAAACAGAAGACTAAAATCTTTTCTAATGACTTTTTACCTTGATTGTGCTTAGATAATTAATTAGAAGAATTTCTCTTTTTGTTTCTAAATTTGTTATCGTTTTCATTGAGAACTCAGCCGAAAAATTTATTCTCAACACTGATTTTCAATTCTCTTCCATCTAAACTGTTGCAATATTAATCAATATTAATTGATTGATAAAATCTAAACAGAAAAACAAACCTCTTCAATTTGGTTTAACTAGAGATAAATTAATCAGTATATAAGAAAAAAGATATAGCAATTAGTTAACAACAACATTTTGATCGAGAAAGATCAATTATTGACTTTGGCTATCCAGTGATGGGTAACCAAAGTCAAATCACCAATAATCACCTTAATTGTATTTTAGTTAATATTTGTTTTTATTAAAAGTTAAATAAAAAGTGAAAATATAACTGGTCAGTGAAGACCAATACTAATTAGTTAATTAAATTGTGTATAAGAATTAAAGTCAGTGAAGACATTAATTCTTATAATTAATTATGTTTAAATTGAACTCAAACCTAACAGCCAGTGAAGGCTAAAGGTAAAATAATCAACTAATTGTGATCAAATAGAAACGAATTCAACCCCTTTTAATTTTTCATATAATTTTTACATTGCACTAACCATGATATTTTGATGGGTTATGTGTGAATCATTTAGACGTTTAATTTTAGATGTGCTAGTCTAGAAAATGATGATAATTGTTATTCAAGATTAAGGTTAGATGAAGTACAAAGATGGCAAATTAGAAAGAAAAAGTAGAGAAAAGTTAAAGTTATTATAAAGTTGTTTTACTTTCATCTTCATCATCATGATTATTTTTAGAACTAATCTAATTGAAATCAACTTTGACACTGAAGCAAAAGTGTCACGATAATCAACACCTTCCATTTGTGTATAGCACTTTGCGACCAATCGAGCTTTGTATCGACTAATTTGACCATCACCGTCAATTTTTGTAACAAATACCCATCGACAGTTGATAATATCCATCATGTCTGTTCTTTCGACAAGTTCCTTTTCCATTTTATTTCATTCCACTTCTCATGATCATTTCTTTGCATCGCTTCAGCAAAAGACTTTGGATCACTAATATTAATATTAACAACAGTAGTTTAATTCACAAGAAAATTGTACTCATCAAAAATGACGTCACGGGAGACAAAAAATTTATTTTTCTCAGAGTCATAAGCTCTATACTCTTTATGATCATCTGAATATCCCATGAAAATATTCTTCGTTAACCTGTAATTAAGTTTATTTCTTTGTGATTTTGGTATATGAACAAAACAAATACATCCAGAAGTTTTCAAATGAGAATAACCAAATTGCTTATCGAACCAAATATCGAACGGAATTTTGAACTCAATACTTGAACATGGCCTTCGATTTAACAAATAGTCTGCTGTACTAATTGCTTCAGCCCAAAATTTTCGATCTTATTGAGATTCCGATAATTAACAACGAGTAATTTCAAGTAAAGTTCTGTTTACCATTTTGTTCAGGTGTATACGGACAAGATTTTCCATGTTATATCCCCTTATCAAATAAAAGCTTTTTCACCTTATCATTCAAATTTTCTTTATCAGCATTACTTCTTATGGCTTGATTGCGATGATATCAATCCAATGCTTGCTGTAGATCCACGGTTTGTGTAGCAACGATGGCATAATAAAGGTTGATCATCAACACCATATTCCGCGTCAATATTTTTCCAAATAACAACCTTTGTCAGTAGTAATGATGAATAGGGGAATCGGTTGACAAATCATTTCATTTTTTACTAAGGAGACAATTCTTTACATGACAGGGTTCGCAGAATTCTAATCCTTTTGAGCATTTCCATCTTGCAAAATTTCAGCATAATTGGTGAATGTAGCATTTTGTTAAATTTTTGAATGGTACCTGTGGGAATTTATCACATGAATGCATGGTGGAATTTTGATTGGCGCAGTATTCTTTTAAAACCAAATTAGTGATACCATTTTCACCACACTTTGCACAAAATAAACGATTGGTTTGGGTCATGATGTGTTCGCTAAAATATGAACAGAATAAAATGGAATTAGTTTGAAAACGTTTTCAATTTTATAATAAATATAAAACGCTAAATACTTACTAATAGCTTTCTGTAACCGCAACATAATCATAATCATCATACATCTCTTGTGAATTCATTTGCTTACCTAAGCTAAAAAAGATTGATTATCTTAATGAATTGAATGTATAAGAGCTTTAATGAATGATATGTAAATTAAGATTATAGAATGCACAATTGTTTTTAATCAGAATTAAGATTTTATTGAGTTAATTATGATCACAGTTTATAACAATAATCACTAATTCATATTTTGCATAACAGAGATGATGGAGGAAGGTAAGAAAAAAAATTCTTTTCAAAATGGAGGTACTTTGGCAATTGGCGCGATATTTCCAAACTATTAGGTTGTTTCATATGGTTTTGCACTATTTTGGCGCCCTCTATCTTAGGTTTGCCGAAACTTACAAAAACCGTTGATAGGTCATTTTGAAGCTTATTTAACCGTCATTTTAAAGTGATTTATTTTAAGTTTATATTCAAAATGGAAACTCGTGAAATTTGTGTGAATTCAATTAATTACCAGGAACAACATGTTTTTGTAAGTTTGCGTGTCTTATGACGTGGTCAGCGGGATATACACATGATCAATTGAAGAAAATGTTAGGAGATAAGGCCGCCAGTAAAAGGTCAGTCCAAAATTGGATGTGTGCCATTAAACAAGGTGACCCTGTTGTCGCATCCAGAAATACTGGTCGATCAGTTGACGAAGAGAAAAATAATGAACGAATTGAAAAAATTCGTGTTTGTTTCGAGGAATCGAGACATTGGAGTCTTCGCTCAATTTCCAATCGAGAAGAGATACCACTGAGTACCGTCCAAAGGATTGTAGTCCATGACCTTAAGATGAAGAAGATTTTGAAGAAATGGGTTCCACATGATTTGTCGTTTTCTCAAATGGAACATCGTGTTTTAGCTTGTAGATCCAATTTAGAGCGATTATCAAAGGACAAAACACTGTTAAAAAGAACAGTTACTATTGATGAGTCATGGGTCGCACTTTACATGGCGCCAGATAGGAACCAATCAAGATCTTGGCTACTTCCAGGTGAGGAACCGGAAATTCAGGTATCCCAAAATATTCATGCTGGTAAACGATTACTAATAATGGCCATGGATTACTTTGGAATTTGCTTCTGGCAGCTCCTCCCGCCAAAAACGACTGTAACGGCTGAGGTCTATAAACAGTTTCTTGACGAGTATATACCGAAGTGGTTAGACGGAAAGCCATTTGAGCGACCTATTCTACTTCATGATAACGCGAGACCACATAAGGCAACTCTAGTTACTGAGTTTTTGGCAGAAAAACAAGTTCCATGTTTGTTTCATCCTCCTTATTCTTACGATATAAGCCCTTTGGACTTCTGTTGTTTTGGCCAATTAAATAGGCGACTCAAGGGAATCAACCACCAAAATTGGGATGAATTCGAACAAGCTTTGGAAACAGCGGTAAATAACCTTAATAGCGAAGGTCACATGAATGGTATTCAACAGCTACCCGATAGATGGTCACGTGTGATTAATTCTAAAGGTCAATACTTGTAACTCAAAATTTCAGGTCAATATGACCTTTAGAACAAAAGTTATAAAGAAATAAAAAGGTGAAAAACCATATGAAACAACCTAATACATCATAAATGTATCATATAAACAATATCTTTTCAACTTCTGTATTTCATTTAACAGATATTCCATAAAAACGCTTTACGATTATGAGTAAATCAAAATTCCAAACTCATTTTTTTAAGTGTTTTTATATCATAAGTAATCTACCAGAATTCGAAAAGTAAAGTTTTTCCATGTTTAGATTGTTTGTCTATGGGATTTTACATGTGTTTTGAGCCTCGGATCGTTTAAAAACTTTTTCTATAATATGTTAGATATCGCAAATATTTCAATTCATTTTTGTAGACCATTATTAGAGTATGTTATAAAAAAAGTTTCATCAGTCTTAGATCAGTATTCAACGATCGCGGACTAATCGTCTGATTTTTTCGAATTAAAATAGAACCGAAATTATTGATCACAAACCAATGTTAAGTATAGCGTTCGGTAGACCTTATAAAGTCCTATCTAAATCTCAAATATCGTAGTAATCTGAAAAATCCCCAGGTCACTACAATATAGAAAAGTTGCGCACTTTGGCCTTATATATCTTCCGTTTTTGAGTTCAGAAATGAAAACCGATGATATTTTTGAATAGCCTGTCAAAATCTATTACCAAAAATAGTTGTGTCCTTAACTAAAAAGCATAAAAGTGAAGAAAAGGGGAGACCCTCCTATCATAAACCTCTTCTTTATTTTTCATTAAGTTCGTGTTAATTTGTCTGAATTGTTCAGTTGGTTAGAACTGTAATTTGAATAACCTTGTTGAAAATTTCTACGTGTTTGAAATTGCTTGTTAAAATTTTGAAAACCTTTCGATATATCTTCTTGGATTGTAGAAGTGAATTTTTGGGTTCGAAATTATCCTTGTTCATCAAAATTTCCTAGTTTTATTCTCATGCTTCTGTTGCTGTTGATCGAATTTTTTCTTTTGATAATAAAACTTAGCTTCTTCTGTCAAATTTTTCATTTCATCCAAAGAATTTACTTTGGTTAATATAATTTAGTATTCTGGACAACAATCCATTTTTAATATATTGAACTTTTTCTTCTTGAAAAATATCTATAACAATTAACGATAGTCAATATTATCGATGGTCAATCATAAAAAATTACAATTAACCAAAGGGCTAAATAAAAACATCAGAAAAAAATTAAAACTCTTACCAACAATAGTAGATAGAGTTTGGTCTGTATTACATAGATAGAGAAATGAGAGTAATCGGCTTGTAATAAGAATCATTTTCAACTTGTTTCTTCTTCTAATCAACTAATTAGCTAATTTAGTTGGTCAATTATGATTGGCCATCACTAATCGATCATAATGGTCCCTTAATTAATTGTAATGCCAATGAAAAGAGAACCCAAACTAATCAAATCTATTCTTATTTCTCTATCTAACTGAGGTTCTCTTTTCCTTCCACTACAAACCCAATGTCAGTAGTATCTTTCTCTCTTTCTCTCTTTCTCTCTTTCTCTTTCCTTCTCATTCTTTCCTCTCTTTTTACACTTTTCTCTGACTCTCCTTTTCTCTTTCTTCTTTCTATTTGCCTTCTACTCTTCATGTTACAGGTAATACCATTCGCTCCAAACAAAACAAGAACAAAAAAATCCTCTTCTTCCAAGATGATCTTAAATTATAATTATTCTATTGGCTTGATTATCGTTTTATAATTAAACCTTTACTAAAGCGAATACTTTATATCTTTAGGTCAAACAAAAAGAAAGAAAGAAAGCAAAGAGTAAGGATTAAGGAGGTAATTTATTGAATTCAATCAAAACCTTTCAAGGTAAGATTGGATACGAGAAAATACAATTTTACAGTAATAATTAGAGCACAGGTTATGATGATATTCAATTTAGTTTGAGCATTTTATTATTGTTTTGAAATAAGAATTGTGATAATTTTGAATCGGTAAATGATATTCATTATTACTTGAAGATTGCTTACCTTTTTAACTTATCACAATTCTTAATAGGATAGGTTGTATACACCGTGACCAGAAATGATCGACGAACTTTTTTTCGTGAACCAAGTCGCTGATGATGCTCAAATTTTCTGGATGTCATCTTAGACCAAAAGGTAAATGTTTGACATAATTTTCGAATTTTGTAAAAATTCGAAATCTCTATGAGATTTTACATGCTGAATTTTACAAGTCTCAGCAAGTCGATTTTTTTTCGTGAATTCGATAGTTTGGGTCTTACAAAGGTGTGATCAAGTTTTGTTTCCGAATAATCGACTTATAAAATGGTCAAATCCATAAAAATGTTCTGCGCATGTTCAGAGCCTTTATAACGTTGACAATTCATATGGGTGGATAAAAATACTGGCATAAAGTGCAGAATGTCTCATGCCATCTAGAACTACCATAAAAATCAACTTTCTGAGAGTTGTAAAATTCATCATGTAAAATCTCATAGAGATTTCGAATTTTTACAGAATTCGAAAATTATGTCAAACATTTACCTTTTGGTCTAAGATGACATCCAGAAAATTTGAGCATCATCAGAGACTTGGTTCGTGAGAAAATGCGAAAAAAAGTTCGTCGATCATTTCTGGTCACGGTGTATATCAAACTAAATTAAATTCATCAGTACCTTAATTAGTTAGATTTATCGTCGTTTAATTATTTCATATTAGGAAATGGACAAGTCAACAATAATAAAAAAGCATAAGTTTAAAACGAAAATTTAACGCATTTGGTCAATGCATTACTACAACAACACAACGAACAATTATTCGAAGAACCGTTGAAACATTTAGTTAGTAATGTTCTTCTCAAAAATGCAAAGCAGTTTACTGAATCATCAATGGCTACGGAAAATATTAAGGTGGACAAGATTAATTATTTTTTATACGAATATAAACTATCGCTAAAAACTCCAAAACGAAACATAATTGGTTATGGAACTTCAACAAGTAAAAAGAAGGCAAAAGCTTTCGCAGCCAATGATTTATTGTTAAAGCTACAATCAACTGTATTTCTCATACAAATGGTAAGTTTATTTGTTACTTTATAAACTTTAATTTCATAATTTCAGTTATCAACCAAAATACGTGATCACCTTACCTAGTATAAGAGGACATTGCTTTTTTGTACCGACTTTTGTACCTCTATTTTTGAGTAAGTAATTCGTTGAAGATATTACTAAAGCAACCGAGATTTGTTCCAAGAATAAAGAGAAATATCCTCATTTATGTAAAATCAAGAAATTTTATGATATTTATCGGACCGCAAGTTTTGATTCCAATTTTTCTTCTCGAAACTTTCCTATTGGACTCGAATTGGACGATGGTTCGTATAATAAATATTGGATTAACAATGTACGTGGTAAAAAGCTTGATCTTAAGCTTGATCAAGCAATGATTAATATTTGCAAAGAGCTGAGAGTATTAAAACCTGAAGCCTTAAACTTTAATTGTCTTTTTCTTTTTTCTGGTTTTTAACTTACCTTAACTAGCATTTAGAGTTTAGCTTTTGACTTGAAAATTTTGTCTAAAATCTAATATTAAATGTGATATCAGAAGATTTTTTCGTAAAGAAAAGCCACTATTGCTAAGAATAGCAATAACCTGGATAAATATAACCTTCTCGGGAAAGAGATAAAGTTAAACTGCTATCACGAATAAGATGATAAGCTAATGCTACATAAATTGAATTGTATTGACAAAATTATGGGTTAAACTGGTTTATCCAATTAGGAAGATAAGAAGAGATCCAGAAACTGAAATGAATTATTAGGTTAGTGGAAAATTCAACTAAACCAATGATTATATTGGATTGCTATCTAAAATTTCAAAATATTCGTTAATATCAATAGTTCATCAGATCATATCAATCAATGGTTGTTAATTCATTAGTTGATTTATCGTTTATATCATTATGTGAAGCATCAGGTTCCTTGCTTCTTTTAATGGTTAGTTAAGGTACAATATAAATAGTGTTGGTGTTTTTTTTGTTTTACTTAATGACTATTATCAAATCTAAACTTCAGTATCTATATACATATACATATATGTATGTATATTATATATAATCATCAGTATCCAGTAACTGGATTCCAGTTTGTAAGACTCTCACTCAGATTTATAATTAAACTTTGTAATCGATCCAATTTGATCATTCGGATGAAGATAAAAGTGAGATTATTGATCACAGTTATGTGCAATTCTTAATTTTCTTGTTTGTCTACTCGCTGTGATAAGTGGTACACAATAAACACTTTGGAATTTAAATTTTTGTTCTGAAATGGTGTAAAAATTCAGTTTATTCGAGTCCACATGCTAAATATTGATAATATTTGAAAGAATCCTTCAGATTTGTTATAAACCAATTAAGAATGATAAAGAATTTGATAAATTCAAATGAGCAAATTTTATTCGCTTCTTGGTATTATGATAGTTTGCTATTATCTGATTTCCATGATTGCGATGAATGACATTTATCCTGCTTATTGTCTCAATATCACAAAGGAAAACAAAATATCAAAGCTGATATTGAACAGAATCTTGTTTTTCACAATGGGTAACATAATGGTGACAACTATCATGGGGTTTAATTATATCAAAGATTTTCTGGCACTAATGAATTTGTGTCTTTACCTATGGAAACTGTCATCATTTTCATTAAGAGAAACAGTTTATTTGTCAGCATCTTACTCGGTAAACTCTAAATTGGTCAAATTATATTTAGAGTTTACATTTTTGCCCTGATTATAAACATGGGGTTTCAAGATGTATCTTGGAAAAGGTTTGGAATGAGAGAAAGAAAGATTAAGTTGAAAATGGTGTTTAGATTATGGATGGTATGTATTCTTGTTTGTTTGAATAGCTAAGGAAGAAAATGAAATGAATAAGGTGGAAGTGGAAAGAATCAGAAGGAAAAGTGAAACAATGAAGTAATATCAAGTTTAACTGGAAATAACTCCCAAGAGTA